AATATCATTCAGTCCTCATCAGAAAAGCTACTTCTTGCAGTAGGTAGCAATTAACAAAGAGATCTATAATGGGATGATGTACAGAGTAAGGCTTTAGAGCACTTAGCCCTAAATGGGATGTCTTTATTAAACTCAAGAATTAGTGATCTATGGGAAAGAAAAGAAGAAAAAATTATAAGAACCAGGGGTGGTGGATAACTCCCAGGAAATAGCCACAACAGAACTGAACCACATGTGAATTCCCAGCATGTGACAGCATGCACAATACCTACAAATTTCAGCACTGAGAAAGGGAAATGAACACAAAATCCCACCCTTAACCAAGAAACTATTTGCAGTAAATACTTGCTGGGTAGGAGAAAATCAGCTTTCTCCAGTGGAGTGTCACTGGGAATACCAACCACACTCCAGTGTAGACCCCGTGCTCAGGAATAGTTAGCCAACACAAAATGGCCTCCATGTTTTGTTTTGTATTTTTGTGCATATTTTGTTTTGGGTATTGTATTGATCTGGTTTGGGGTTTCTCTTATTGATTTTTTTCTTTGTTTTGATTTTTGTTTCTTTGCTTTTTCCTGTTTTATTTTTTTTTTTGAGAGAGAGAGAGAGAGAGAGACAGAGAGAGAGAGAGCACGCATGAAGTTATATAGGAGGAGCTTGAGGACGGGAAAAACATGATCAAAATATATTGTACAAAAATGATTGTTAAAAATTTGAAAAATAAACACACACAAAGGAAAAAAACAAAAAAACGTAATTTCAGGAACTGATTCAGAGTTGTTAGACAATGAGGTCCCACAGGCCAGCCCCCAAAACAAGTCATTATTAAAGAAATCATTGCCAGACAGTGGTAGTTTACACACTTAATCCCAGCACCCATGAAGCAGAGGCAGGTGGATCTTTGTTTGAGGCCAGCCTGGTCTACAGAGCGAGTTCTAGGACAGCCTCCAAAGCTACAGAGAGCCCGGCAATGGTTTCTTTAATAATGACTTTAATGATGTCTTCTTCATCTTTATAACTCATTATTGGAGAGTATTTAAAGCTCCTTTGTTTTTATATTAACTCTGTTTCATAACCCTGATAAGTTTTCTAATTCTAGTAACTTTCAATACATTTTAATTTTTCTATGGTCATTGTAAATATTTTCATGCTTACTTTTCTCGTGTCTTCTTTCTGTTTATCAGACAGCTTTCTTTTTGTATAACTGAAATACAAAAAAATAGTATGTTTAATTTCTTTTTATCTCAAATTTTTACTTTTGAGACTTCCATATATATGTGCAATAGAATATTATCATATTTAGAAAGCAATTTGACAGCATAGCCATTCAGCAAAATAACAATAGCAGATTCTATCCTAGGGTCTATGACCTTCCCAGCCATGGACTTTTGACTAGAATTACAGTACCTGGAATGAAAATCCCTTCTATGGAGCAGACCTCAAGTCCAATCATAAAATGCTTAGTTACCTCATAAAAGTTGTGCCACTATTGTACCAGTGTGTACTTCTTGCCTGGCAGGTCATAACTGTAGCATGCAAGGTCCAGCACTTGGTAAAACCATTGATAGTTTTTCTCCCTTGCCAACCAGCCGAGTAAGCACCTTCTGGCAGTATGAAAACTAGCAAAAAAGGAGGAAGACATTTCCTGTTCAGTTTGAGATTGATTTCTTTATCACCTGCAACAAAAGTGTGTGGTAGACACTTACTATGTAGTTACAGTGGGCAGCTAAGGACAAAAGCAATAGCCTGTGTTATTTTGGAGACACCCGGAGCTTCCTTAACCAAAAATTCATGGGGAGGTATCCCATGCCCTGAACTGCAATTTTTTTTTTCTTTTTGGTTTTTCGAGACAGGGTTTCTCTGTGTAGCTTTGGAGCCTGTCCTGGGACTAGCTCTGTAGACCAGGTTGGCCTTGAACTCACAGAGATCCCCCTGCCTCTGCCTCCTGAGTGCTGGGGTTAAAGGTGTGCACCACCAATGCCTGACTGAACTGCAATTTTTATTTTGAGCCTTTTTTATATTTTTCTTGCACGGGCCAAGACCTTCAGTACAATTTGAATAAAACTGCTTATAGTGGGCAGCCTAGTCCTGTGCCCAGTCTTAGGAAGTGTCCTAGTTTGCTTTTTTGCTGCTGTAGTCAACTCTGGCCAAAAACAACTTGAGAAGGAACAGATTGATTTTTGTCTTGCACTTCCAGGTCCATCACTGAGGGAGGTCGGGATAGGAACATATAAGCCGGAGCTGAAGCAGAGACCATAGAGGAATGCACTTACTAGCTTGCTTTCCACGGCTTGCTCAGCTTGCTTTCTAATATAAATCAAGACCATCTGCTGAGGCATGGCACTGCCCACAGTGATCTGGACCCTCCCAGATCAATCATTAATCCCCCTGCAGACATGCCCACAGGTCAGTGTGCTAGAAGCAATTCCTTAACTGAAGCTCCCCTCTTTCCAGGTGACTCAAGTGTGTATCCTCACAAAAACTAACAAGCACTGGGAGCATTCGGTATTTCCCTATTAAGTATGTGTACATGCACACAGTGGCCAGAGCACTCTATAGCTCTCCACATTCACGCCTCACATCTCACTGAACTTGAAGCTCACCGTGTTTTGACTAGGCTGACTGGTCAAGTTCTAGGGACTCACTTGCCTCTGCCCACCAGTGGTAGGATTACAGGCAGGCACAGCCATGCCACACTTTTCCATGGTTGCTATGAATTTGAACTCAGATCTTCATGCTTGCTGAGCAAGTGTTCTTATCCACTGAGACCATCTCCCAATTCTTCTGGAGATTGCTCTATATAAACCTTTTAAAAATATAAATTCAGTTTCTTTAATAGTTATAAGATTGCTCAAATATTCTAGTATTTTCTGTGGCTTTTAGTAAATTTTAGCTGCCAAGAATTTTTTCTGCTGTATCAAAAATTTCAAATTTGCAAGCATAAAATTATAATTCTAATAGCCTTTCATCATAACTTACTGTTATATAGTGTAATAGCCCCTTTGTTCCTGATACATTTTAAATGCTTTCTTACTTTCTGAATCATGATATCTCAGGAGTTCTTCAAAGAATCATGAATTCTGCTGATCTATTTCCCATTCCACTGCTCTCGATTATCAATTCTACCATTTCCCTCTTTTATCTCTTATCTCTTTCTAACTTAAGACAGAAATCCAGCTCTTTCTTTTTAAAATATATGAATTTAAAGCTACAAAATCTTCCCTCCACACAGCCTTAGAGGCATCTCCCAAGATTTCAGGTGAAGATTTTCATTGTAGGTCAATCCAAAGTACTTCCTAATTTCCACTGTGAATTTATCTTCAATCCATAGGATTTTATCCCTTTCAAAAGCATGGTGCCCAAATTTTAGAGACATAAAAATAACCACCTGAAGGTTTTCTAGAAATTTTTCACACTTCTCCCACCTACCAGATTTATATTCCAAGAGTAGGCCTTGGGACCTACATTTCACAGGTTCTAGAGGGATCCGGATGCAAGTGCATGATGACTTCCAGGCCCACAGGTTGGTAGCAGCAGATCATGGGTTTCATAAGGGCAGGCAGCAAGTCTGATCCACCCAAGTCATCTGAGGCCCGCACTGAACCTACATAAAGCTGCGTTTAAAAGAAGGAACCAACAAACGGGGGGAGGGGAGGAACAAATAAAATAAAATTTTTACATCAACAGAATTGGAATTGTTGAATGCTAGAAGTTAGAGGAAGCACTACAGCATCATTTGGTCTCCATTTAAATTGATCCAAAACAGAAATGGATTCCATGGTCTTTACATTTCTGTTCATCAGGCATTTTTCTCATCTTTCGCTTTACGCTGTCCTGAAACACAACCTTGAGTATGGATTCATGCCTGACTCCTGCCCCAGAAAAAGTAGTAGTATTGGGGATATCCTGACAAGAGCTATTCTGAGCTGGGTGTTTGTACTGCTCCTCCACCTCCCTCCAAGACAGCTTTCAGACCCTACCGATAGACCCTACCCTATCTTCCAAGCTTCCCCATGCCAAACCTGAGAAACTTCTAACAAATCTTATTCAAAACCAAACCCCAGACCTTTATAAGCCCTGCCCTCCCTACACGAGTAGCCTAAGCAAGTTGCTTTCTCAGCAACCTCTTGGATACTTCTCCTCACCTCCACACAGGCTTCTCTTCGTGTCAGAAAGGCCTGAGCCTGATTTTGTCAGCCAGCTATTGTCCTGGCAAGAACAGCCACCAAACCAAGTATCCCCATTCAGTCAGCCAGCCAGCCAAGTTCTCCCGGTCTCGCCAGCCCCCTCCCCCAACCCCAGCCGCCCCGCCCCAGGGAGGACCTTGCTGGTGGCTGGGAGTCTCCCGGCTGCTCAGCCTCCCCTTCTTCCCTCCCTTGCTCTCCCTGCTTCCCTCCCTCCTCCACCCGCCCCTCGGGCAGGGACTGTGCAAATCGAGGAGAGGGGAGGACCAACAGGCTACACAGGGTCCAGCGAAGGGGCCATGACTGCTCATTGAGACCCTATCCAAGCTAGGTGTTCCCCGCACCGTGGAACCTGGATCTGTGTGAAGCGGGGTGATTCCCTGGACAGGAAGGTCCTTCCGGCAGGTCCACCATACCTCCGTCTCGCATCAGGACCCCCCTTGGATGCTCTGAGCCACCCTTCTCAACCCGGATCTAAAACCTGGGACACGGCTATCAGGCCAGCCTCTCTCTCCCTCCACCCCTCCCCCTCTATCTGGCGTCCATCCCCTCCCCAACACCACCTCTGCTGCTGCCTCTGGCTGTGGACCTGCACCTCTTCTCCATCCTCGCCAGACCCGGAGAGTGGGGTTAGCCTGGAAGACAGTGTGCCCCTAACCTGGGGCCCTCCCAGGCAATGGCTCTTGTGCTCCCAGGGAGGAGTCCAGGACCCTGAGCATCTGCTAGAAGCTTGGCAGAGGCCCCGCTGGGACCGTGTCTTCTGAGGACAAAAGGCTGCGGCCAGCAGGCAGACTGGGTTGGGGGGGGGGTGGAGGGGGACCGGCAGCCAGTCAGGCAGACCAGTAGCAAAGCCAGCACTGGCCCCCTCCTAGACTGGCGGTGGCATGAAGATGGGGGTGGGAGTGTGTAGCGGGAGAAGCACCTACCAGGACCCCTACCTGCCCACTACTTGGGCACCCCAAAGCTGTGTGCTGCCCACCTGGTGTTCCCCAACATCTCCAGCTCTACCAAGTGCACCCCTCTGGCACCTGCTTCCCCTGCTGCCAGCGATTTAGACCAACCAGGCTGTATCCACGGCAACAGAAGCAGGAGTGTCACTGGCTGCCAGATCACTGAGGGTCCCACAATGTGGCCTGGATTGTGGTTTATCCTGGTTGAGACAGAGTGAGCGCCCTTCCTGAATTCCAAGACAGTCCTGCTAAGAGAACCCAG